GTTGGGAAAATTGGATAGCCACATGCAGAAGAATGAAACTGGACCATTTCCTTACACCACACACAAAAATAGACTCCAAATGGTTGAAAGACCTCAATGTGAGACAGGAGTCCATCCACATCCTAAAGGAGAAAACAGGTAGCAACCTCTTTGACCTCAGCCGAAGCAACTTCTTCCTAGAAACATCGCCAAAGGCAAGGGAAGCAAGGACAAAAATGAACTATTGCGACTTCATCAAGATAAAAAGCTTTTGCAAAGCAAAGGAAACAGTCAACAAAACCAAAAGACAACCGACAGAATGGGAGAAGATATTTGCAAATGACATATCAGATAAAGGGCTAGTATCCAAAATCTATAAAGAACTCATCAAACTCAACACCCAAAGAACAAAGAATCCAATCAAAAAATGGGCAGAAGACATGAACAGACATTTTTCCAAAGAAGACATCCAAATGGCCAACAGACACATGAAAAAGTGCTCAATATCGCTCGGCATCAGGGAAATCCAAATCAAAACCTCAATGAGATACCACCTCACACCAGTCAGAATGGCTAAAATTAACAAGTCAGGAATGGACAGATGTTGGTGGGGATGCGGAGAAAGGGAAACCCTCCTACACTGTTGGTGGGAATGCAAGCTGGTGCAGCCACTCTGGAAAACAGTATGGAGGTTCCTCAAAGAGTTGAAAATAGAGCTACCATATGATCCAGCAATTGCACTACTGGGTATTTACCCCAAAGATACAAAAGTAGGGATCCGAAAGGGTACGTGCACCCCGATGTTTATAGCAGCAATGTCCACAATAGCCAAACTGTGGAAAGAGCCAAGATGTCCATCGAGAGATGAATGGCTAAAGAAGAAGTGGTATATATATACAATGGAATAATATGCAGCCATCAAAAGGAATGAGATCTTGCCATTTGCAACGACATGGATGGAACTGGAGGGTATTATGTTGAGTGAAATAAGTCAAACAGAGAAAGACATGTATTATATGATCTCACTGATATGAGGAATTCTTAATCGCAGGAAACAAACTGAGGGTTGCTGGAGTGGGGGGTGGGGTGGGAGGGATGGGGTGACTGTGTGATAGACAGTGGGGAGGGTATGTACTCTGGTAAGCGCTGTGAATTGTGCAAGACTGTTGAATCTCAGATCTGTACCTGTGAAACATATAATGCAATATATGTTAAGAAAAAAAAAAAAGAAGAAGAAGGTCGCAGGAGTGGTAGAATGAAGGTGGGGAAATTGGAGGGGTAGACGAGCCATGAGAGACGATGGACTCTGAAAAACAAACTGAGGTTTCTAGAGGAGAGGGGGTGGGAGGATGGGTTAGCCTGGTGGTGGGTATTGAGGAGGGTACATTCTGCATGGAGCACTGGGTGTTATGCACAAACAATGAATCATGGAACACTACATCTAAAACTAATGATGTAATGTATGGGGATTAACATAAGAATAAAAAAATAAAATAAAATAAATATATATAAAAAAAAAGAAAAGAATATTTGGAAAGCATCTCAAAAAGGAGAAAACAATTGGCTAGTTACATGTATTTCCAAGCCTTCATTTCTTTGCTAATGCCTGTGGATATTTGTGTTCGGAAACCAAAAAGTTAATATGGGTGATAGGAGCTGGGCCCAGTCTGTGAGCTCAACTTAAGAAAAGCACAGTAAAGAATCATGAAACTAGCTACCAGGGCCCTGATAGGGAAATGGGGAAGGCGGCTGGTCGTGAGTGTTAATAGAGATCATTTCATAACTTGGATTTTATGACATTGAACTTGCAAGGAGCATGGTTCCCCTCTTTCTCCTTTACCCCCTCCCTTTCCCCTTTGAAGCTTCCCTGAAAACCCCAGTGCTGAGATTTTGGCTAAGCCCCTATTTCAGGAGGGGTCTCACAAATATATTCTGAGGAGCTCTATTCCTTCAGGCTGGGAAGTCACATAAAACATTCTGGGTTTTGTGGAAATCAAGAATTTCTGAAATGTGTGTCAATGTTTCTACGTGTATGCTTGTATTGTAACTTCCAAGTATATTTTTGCTCCCTACTGATCTGGGACAATGAGTGACTGGGCTGGATCTGGAGAGGTCTCTCCAGGACATGATGACACAGGACAGGCTGACCCTGGTGCTGATTCACCTTGGACAGTGTTGTTTCATTCAAAAGCTACTAATGTGGGCTCACCACTGGCAATGGTTGCAGGCACAACATTTACTCACCCTACCAAAGACCCTTGCACAAACCATGACCATGACCTGTGAACGTCAATCCCATGAATGGAACCATGTTTTTAATCCCCTGTTCTATCAGAGCAGGAACCAGAGCAAAGACATTGGTCACAAACAAAATACCCTAACTACAATTCACACATTTCTAAATATTGCAGTTCCTTAGAAAACTATTTCCCAACTTTATGTATTTCTGATGTCCAGTCACAAAGATTCTTCTATAGTGGTGGGGGGGAGTATGGCCTGGTCTCTACATTTGTAAAATGAAACCAAGGCCATTTTCCTGTGGATCAAGAGAGAACATGACAGACATAGTGAGAAAAAACAGGACACCAGGCCATCCTCGGGTGAAGCCACATGGCCCAAGAACAATGGCTCAACCCTTCAGAACCTGAGTGCTCTAAAGCAAGGGTAGGTAATAGGTCAGCTCTGTTAACCACACAAACTCATTCTTGTTTGTTTGTTTTTTTTAATTTTATTATGTTATGTTAGTCACCATACAATACATCATTGGTTTTTGATGTGGTGATCCACGATCCATTGTTTTCGTATAACCCCCAGTGCTCCATGCAGTACGTGCCCTCCTTAATACCCATCACCAGGCTAACCAATCCCCCCTCCCCCTCCCCTCTAAAACCCTGTTTGTTTCTCAGAGTCCATAGTCTCTCATGGTTCATCTCTCCCTCCAATTCCAGCCCCCCATTTTCCCCTTCCTTCTCCTAATGTTCTCGATGCTATTCTTATGTTCTACAACCATAAACCATATGATAATTGACTTTCTCTGCTTGACTTATTTCACTTAGCATAATCTCCTCCAGTCCCATCCATGTTGATGTAAAAGTTGGGTATTCATCCTTTCTGATAGCTGAGTAATTTTCCATTGTATATATGGACCACATCTTCTTTATCCATTCTTCTGTTGAAGGGCATCTCAGCTCTTTCCACAGTTTGGCTATTGCAGACCTTGCTGCTATGAACATTGGGGTGCATATGGCCCTTCTTTTCACTAAATCTGTGTCTTTGGGGTAAATACCCAGTAGTGCAATTGCTGGGTCATAGAGTAGCTCTATTTTTAACTTTTTGAGGAACCTCCACACTGTTTTCCAAAGTGGCTGTACCAACTTTCATTCCCACCAACAGTGTAAGAGGGTTCCCCTTTCTCCACAACCTCTCCAACATTTGTTGTTTCTTTCCTGTCCATTTTTGCCATTCTAACTGGTGTAAGGTGGTATCTCAATGTGGTTTTGATTTGGATTTCCCTGATGGCTAATGATGATGAACATTTTTTCATGTGTCTGTTAGCCATTTGTATGTCTTCTGTAAGATAGTGTATGCCCCTATCAATGTGTGGGAGATGTTACAAAATCTACATTCAGACTGGTCAAAAAATCAAAGCTGAACCAGGCCACTACTTTTGTGCTGTGTCCAATGGAACTATCCCCAGTTGTCTTGGGAAATCCTATCACATCATTGCTTATGATCACTCGATGGAAATGGATTGTTCAGGAAACAGGCAGACTTTCAACTAGAAACCACTCAAATCAGAGTCTTTAGAAACCCAGGAGGAAGAAAGGTGCTTCAGCCCCTCCATTTTGAAAGATTCCTCCAAGTGGCATTGCCATAGCCTCTCTGTCCCAGTCATGCCCCCAGGTGCTCCCACACCCTCCCTCACTCTGCCCCTCCAGGGCTACTCCCCACAAGGATCACAGAAGACAGAGCTGCTCATCAGGCTGGGTGTCTGTCACCATAGTGCTTATCCCAGGGGTAGGGATTGGTGTTGACAGCCGTGGAAGCCAGGTTGGGCTAGGAAAGGGGATACAGACATCATCAGGGAGCAGGTGGAACATGGTGACTGGAGCTACCATTTTCTGAGCTATCCTCAGAGGCCCTGGGATGACCTTCTATGTGTCAAGGGTCTCACGTGCAGATGCCTTGATGGGTGCTCACGGAGGGCAGGGCCTTTTATCAGCTTCACTCACCCACCTCCAATCTCTGTGACTAGATATAGCCCCTCTTCAGAAGGACCACCCCATTGTGAGCCTGGCCCTAGAGCTGGAAGAGAGAAGAAGCAAGAGCTGTTCCCTGGCAAAATAGTCTGCATTCCTTTTGAGTGAGGTGAATGAGGGGCATGGAGAGATTGGAGGATGAATGAATAAATGAATGGATATATGGATGGATACATGGATGGGTGGATACACGTATGGATGAATGGATGGATGGACGAATGGATGAATGACTAAATGAATAAATACACCAACCAACCAGTGGGGACCCCGCAAGAACCACTAGGGCAGCCTCCCATGAGCTGGGGAGTCTGATTGACTCCACGCTTTGCACTACAGTCAAGGTAAGAGCAATAATGATGAATTCATCACCCCTTGTCAGAGGCAGCACCATTTATAAAAGATAAAAGATGTGGGAGAGTGCAAAACAGACAGGGACCCAGAAAGTGCTCTGAGATACATTTAATTTCCCTGGTACTGAATAGGCCTGGGACTACAGACTAACTGTTGCTCTCTGGAGGGAAAGGAACTTTTTTTTTTTTAAAGATTTTATTTATTTGTTTGTCAGAGAGAGAGAGAGAGATAATACAAGCAGGAGGAGCGTCAGTGGGAGAAACCCGCTCTGCACTGAGCAAGAACCTCGATGCGGGACTCAGTCCCAGGACCGTAGGTTCATGACCTGAGCCAAAGGCAGATGCTTAACAGACTGAGCTACCCAGGTGTCCCAGGAACTTCTGCTTGAGGAGCAAGGGACTCCTTCTCTGCCTATTTCGGCACGCAGGTACTGTTCAGGAGGGAGAACTGGGAAAACCATGGTCTGACATCCACAATAAAGGTGCAGTCCACCTGAAAAAAAAAGTAATTATGAGATTAGAACAGTTTAACACATGGAGAGCACTTAGCATGAAGGACTGAGTAAGAGTTCAAGGTGCATGAAAACCACAAATGACGAAAAACAGAAAGAAACAGTGGCCTAGGGTAGGATCCGAGGAGCTCAAGACTCCACCAAAATGATGGACAGGGGTTGCTGAATCTGCACATGTGGGTCAGGGGCTCCTGAGAGGGTCCTGGTGAGACCATGGCTTGCCACTCAGGGGTCCTGCCAGTACCCATGACACTGCCTGGATGCCCCCTGCCCCCATGAGTTCTGAGGGAGCCAGCAGACTGCCCAGGAGATGGTCCAACGGGACACTGAAAACTCAGTAGCAGCTGCAAACCTACCCAGAGGGGAGGCTGCCCCTCAGGCTGGGATAGGGGGTGGGGCTGAAACAAGCCCCACTGAGGGTGTCATCCTGACTCAGGCTCATGCCCAGGGTCTGAGTCCCCTGAACAATATCAGCTCATAGATGATGACACAAGAAGGCCATTACACAGGCCAGCTGTGAGCACAGGGCTCTGCTGGCCTAGAAAATCCATATTCTCCCTCAGTGGGGAGCCCTGGGACCTGAAAGGAGAGGGGCCAGGACTCTCTTTCTGGCCCACGATCATCCCTGACAATGTCCCTAAGCCTTCTCCCATCAGTCCTCCTTTACATGAATGTTCATCATATTCTCAAACCTTTTTCTCTTCTGGGCCTTCTTGCAAGGGGCAATTTTCCAGATCTTCATCCTGTTTTGTACAAATGGTTTGGCCCAATTCCAACTCCATTAAATATATTAAGGTAAACTCCTGTCAAGAACAAATTGTAGAAACTGCAATGAAATACTTTGCATTAGTAAGAAAAACAGAGAACCAAAAAGAAAACAGGCAAAAGCTGTGAATATACATACATAAATGAATAAGGACATACATATGTACAATGTCTCTTATTTTTCTTATTTTTAAATTGATTTATTATTTCATCTTTTCCTCTTAATTCTCCATTTTTCTACGAAAAGATGTCCATATGTACACCTAAGGCATGTATTAGAATCTTCCCTGAGGCACTCCTCCTGGTGGCCTGCACCTGCTAGTCACATCCACAGTGCTATGAATGCACAGGAGGTAACAGGCTCACAGGAGCAGAGGCTACACAGCAAGGAGCCTGCACGGGCTCCAGCACCACTGATAGCACCACTGATCTCTCAATCGTACGCTTGCGTGGCATCAGCCAGACACAAGGGGAGCACACCAGGGAGTCCTCCTCGGAGAGTAGGATAACAGGTGTGCTAGTCCACTGATTAGCCATCGTAGATGGCAGTCCCTTTCAGGGCAGCATCTAGACAGGGATGTGGGGGGTCCTGGGGGCTGGGAATGCTTGCCTCTTTATGTGGGAGCTGGCTGCACAGAAGGGCTCTTCTTGTTGAGGTTCACTGAGGTGGATATTTGCGAAGCAGATGCTTTCCCATGTGTCAGTTAGGCTTCTATCAGAAGTTATTAAAAGTTACCATTTCATCTTGTTAAATAGAAAGAAGTGCGTGAAAACTCAAGAAGAGCTCAAACTTAGAAATGCAGCCAGAAAACCCTGAGGGGAGGAACCTGCCTCTCACTGGACTGAACTGGAATTATCTAGAAGGCTGACTTCTTTTGGGGGGCTCAGTTCTTACAACTGACACATGATATCCACTCATGCCTCAACAATCACCAACAACAGACACACACACACACACACACACATACACACACACTCATGCACCCCCAGCCTCACTTGCATGGTCCCCAGACCCTGAGCTAGGATGGGGCACGGGGGCTGGAGCAGCAACTGTAGGCTCTATGCCCAAGGGGTTCCCACATCCTCCAGGTGTCCAGGGTTGGCTGCTGTCTAAGGAAGAGGCAGAGGGTCAGGAAATGGGAAAGACTGAGAGAAGCCAGTGGGCACTGTGAGGGAAGGGGGCCACTCTCAGTGTGATGCAGAGGTGAGACTCTCCCCATCAGGGCCCTGCAGACGTGATGCCTGGCTCAGGACTGTTCATGCAGGGACCAGAATCTGGGCACGCACAGAATGAGTTCAGGACAGTAGTCTGTATTCCATTCAAAGAAAGCACGAAGTGATAAGAATAAACAGTAGTGGGAAAGGTTTGCCCAACAGAGGCTAAGGACACATTTCTATCAGGCCCAACATTTTCTCTACTCTAAAGGCTCTATAACCCATGACCTTCTTCTGCATGGGCTATTTCAGGAATCCTAAATGTGATGTGTCCTGCCCAGATCTGTCTGTGTCTCCTCCAGCCTTGCTCTGTTGTCTCAGTTGATGGAGTCACTGCACACCCACATGTTCTGGGAAAACACCAGGGGTCCATATTTGACCCCCTCTTTCTCTACACCGTCACACCAGTGCACCCCACATCGACCTCCAACAGATGCAGAAGCCAGCACTTCTTTTACTTCCCAGTGACCAGAGGACCATCCCCTGCATCCTGGTCTCAGCCTGCCATGGCCTGTGGAGCTCTGAGTGACTTTTTTCAACGGATCCCCAGATCTTCAAGGATAACATCTCAAATCTTTGCCTGGGGCCCTGAGGTGCCCCCAGCCCTACCTCCCCCTGCACTCCTGCCTCTCTGCACCTCCTTCCCAGCAACCCCAGTCCACAGAATTTCAGGCTGTCTGCAAGTATATTTGTTGCTTGTCCCCATCCAGGTCCTCCCCCAGGGCTGCCTGCCCTTTTCATCCCCAACTTCCATGTGACTGGATCTTTCCAGGAGTACCCTTCATTGAGATGCCTTCCCTGACTGCCCCCCATGCCCCTAGCCTCTCCTCTGCCCTGGGCTCCCCACACCCACTGCTTTTCCCCAGACTTCCACTATTCCACTCATGAACTTGGAGGCCATTGGCCTGTCCTCACCAGCGCCACAGCCCCATGAGAACATGTCCCAATCTGTCTTCTCTGCTACCTACAGTGTTTCATGCAGGAGCCTCACCGCTCAGCCTCTGTGATGCCTTTCCTTCTTGGGTTGGTTCTCCCCAGCTACCGCGTCTCTTAGTCTTTCTGGTTTCTTGTCTCCCTGCTGCTCTGGCTTCTCCTAGCCACCTCATTGGCAGCTTTTCTTCCCTCTCTCACTCGGCAGCTGGATCTCTGCATTCAGTGCTTGCTTTCTGCTCACCTTTTTTCCTTCCCTCTGTTATGCAGGGAACTTGCTCATGAAGGAAACAAATCAGAAACTCGGAACACTTCTAATGAAACCTTGTAACTTTTTAAACAATATTTACCAAATTAAAACATCCATTGCTCTTTCCTGCAGATCAAGGACTCGCCCCTCCCAGGTGTGGCCTCAGGGCAAACATGGAGCCACATGGAGGGAGGACACTCAACTCACCTTGCGCTGGCTTCGCCGCACCCACAGCAGCTTATACGCATACTCATCTGGGTAAACTTGGTTGAAATGAAACACCGCAAACTCAACACACAAGGTGAAGTAATTTGTTCTCCTATCAATGTCCACGAAGTTGGAACTGCAGACATGAGGCACCAGCACAATGAGCCCCAGAAGCAGAGGTGCCTTCAGGAGCATGCTGTCTGGCGTGAGCCCTGGAGGCCAGCAGCAAACGGGTGGCAGCCAGCGTGGGGCCACCCTCCGAAGCTCTGCATCCCACACAGCCTTACCCCAGGGAGTCCCTGGGCTGCTGGCCAGTGCTCTGTCCAGCTCCTCCCCTTCACCCTGCCTTGTCCCTGCCTTGTCCCTCCCATCATCACTAACAGAAAGCAGAGCAGGGGCTCACCATTTCCACCGCTTTGTTCCATAAGTCTTGGACCCAGGAACATGCATGCAATATGCTCTGTTTCCAGGGCTACCTCCACCTGCCCCAGTCCAGCCCTAATAGGCTCTGAATGGGGGTTTTGAACCCACCTCCCTTGCTCTCACAGCACTGTATTCTACAACTGCCAAGTCACAGGAACTCTTAGGAACACTGGTGGGCTCTAGGAAGTTGAGGTAAAAACCAGGTCTACCTCTGACCATGGCTGCAGCCATCAGGAGGGTACAAGGAAGGGTTACCATTGGGCCTGGGTTACCATCCCTTCCACCACCTCTGGCACCTGCTGACCTGCTTGCCATGAGGTCTAGCTGTGTTTGGCAGTGGGGAGAGGGATTTCTAATGTCCTGGGCGGGTGGAGAGAAATCCAGGACGAAGCAGGTACTAGCCCAGGGCAGGGCTCTGCTGGAATGGATGTGGATGGCAGCCATGGGCATGAGAGGGATCGGGGACTGGGAAAGACAGGCCTTGCCCAGCCCTAGCCAACATGCATTTCCACACAGCTCTGCCACTTTGAGGTCCCATGGCCTTTGCCAAGTCATTGTTGTTAGGCTTTCCTTGGGGGAACCACAGTACGTGGGAGTGTCCTACCTGGCCTCATACAAGGCATTGGGAGTGAGTGGACCAGGAAAGTATGACATGCTGTCCATGCATGTGAGGACACTCTGCAAGGGAAGGATTTTCCCACCTTGGGCATGGAGTCAACAGACACCTGCACATTGATGATGATCCCAGAAAGGGTACAGGGCCAGGGCCACAGCTGTTCAGACTGGGGCTATCCCAGAAAGAGATGGGAGTGTGGCCAGAATGGCAGACACCTTTGTGACCACCTTCACTGCTGCACATCAGTAGATAGCTGGCGGCATGGGTGTCTAAGGATAATCATGGTGAGGACTCCACACCCTGCCTAGAAGTGCATCTGATCCTGAGTGTTGTCTCTCCCGAGGAGATCAGGTCCCCACATGGCTGGCTCTTCCTCCCCATTTCCAGCAGCAGGATGACTACAGTGTCCAGTGTCATCTTTCGAGACCAGGAAGACACTACTGACAGGGGCTGTGACTGCCTCACTTCTAGATTTCTCTCACCAGGAGTCAGAGATTTCATGGGGCCTGCCAATGGACCAGCTGTTGCATTTCTTGGCCCTCTCTATCAGTCTGTTTGTTCTTTCCTTTGTTTATGCTTTTTTGTCATAATTTCCTCCCATTCTTGAGAGAGACTGTGATCACTGGTCAACTTTGTGCCCATCCTCTGCGTGTGCCTGTCCAGACTGTCACTTCCCTTGAGGCTGAACCTCAGCAGCACCACATATACTTGTCACATCATAAATTTTAATCATTTCCTTTGATCATATACCCTAATCAGAATTGAGACTACTTGTGTTATTTTAAGGTGCGTTGCTGACTCGACAACCATTTTTCTTCTTAATTTCAATATAAACGTCATTGCAGCCAGAGACCTTATTCCTTATGATATCAGTACTTTCAAATGCATTGTCACTTTATGGGTCAGAATATGTTCAGTTTGGATTAATATTCTATCAGCTCAAAAAAATACATGTTCCGGGGCACCTGGAGGGCTCAGTCATTAAGTGTCTGCCTTCAGCTCAGGTCATGATCCCAGGGTCCTGGGATGAAGCCCCACGTCGGGCTCCTTGCTCAGCCAGGAGCCTGCTTCTCCCTCTGCCTGCCACTCCCCCTGCTTGTGCTCTCTCACTCTCTCTCTCTCTGTCAAATAAATAAATAAAATCTTAAAAACATAAAATAAATAAATAAAATTATATTAAAAAAAGAAGAATACATGTTCCATAGTTGGTGGTGAATATTCTATATAATTGTTATTAATTTGTCAAATTAACAATTAAGTGGAGCACAGGGTGATGCATGGTAAATCTCAGTTCAACAAAGGACCATGGGAGAAACTGAAATAGAGGAGCAATCATTCACAGGTCCTGGGGGAAGTACTCAGCAAGCTGAAGGGGCCGCACGGGGAGGTCAAGGCACAATGCAGATGGAGCCACAGGATCTGCTTACTGGGTGGAGTACTTCAGGGTTCTTGGGATAAAACTAGACTGACCAACTCAACCCCAAAGGGCAGAGTTCTGGTAAACCCCACGAGGGTCTTATCTAAGGGGCCACAAGGGGGAGGTCCTGGGAGGCAGAAGAGACTATTGCTCACAAGGACTGCAGGGGAAGTCACATCAGGAGCTTCCATTTACTTAAGACTCTGGAGGATGCTATCTAGGGCACATGCTTGTGTTTATATGAGAGGCTAGTGTCAGTTTTAAGACTCTGCAGGCCTCCTGGCCACACAAAGTCGTTGCCAAGGTAGCAGTACCGTGGGGTAGCTTAGCTAAACTCCCAACAATAATCAAAAATCAAATTTGTTCAACGGATTCTTAAATTTTTGTATATATGTTCTGATTTTTACCTGGTGGGTTCTGTCAGTTACTGGATTGGGATTTGATCATTTTCCCTCTAGTCCTGTCTGGTCTGGCTTTACTAATGTGGAGACCACAAGAAGAGGTAGCCCAAGGATAGAACTGTTGTAACTTCCATATTCAAGCAAAGCTGTGACTTTCAGTTCCCAAAAAGCTATGTTTCTAATCCCATATTTGTTGAGAGCTGCAAGAGGCCACAGTCAGAGTTATGAACCTATATTCACACCTTGGTGCCCAAAGGGAAGCTCATTAGAATCATCAGTGCAGGGCTTAAAATAACCCAGTGGCTGGGTCCACTGAACACATGATATTAACACAGTTACATGTACAATGCCCCAGGTGCATGTAAGGTGTATCTGAGCTCAAAGCACAGCATAATTGAAAACAAGATGCCAGGCCTTCCCAATGTGAAATGGGAGTGAAGATAAAGGTGTTCACCTATGAGGGGCACCAGTGAGCAGCAACAACTGGACTTCAGTGAGGGTCTGGCTGTCCTCAGCCACCACGGGCCTCTGAACAATGAACAGCTAGACCACTCTGAACCTGAGTGATCTCAAGCCAAGAGCAGGTAATAGGCTGGCTTTGCTGACCACACATCTACCTTGTTAGTTTATATTTGCCCCTATCAAACTGTGGGGAGATGTCATAAATTCTATGCTCAGGCTGGTCAAAGGACCAAACCTGGCTCAGGCCACCATCTTTATTCTGTGCCCAATGAAGCTGTCCAGAATATGTGGAAAATCTATCTTATCAGTGTTTATAGCCCCATCATGGAAACACATCAGCAAGAAAAGGACAGACTTTGAACCACACTCAGAATAGACCCCCTAGGAGCCCAAAAGGAAGGAAGGTAACCCCTAACCCCTCCATGCTGAAGGATTCTTCCAAGCATCATTGCCACAGCCTCTCTGTCTCAGTCATGCCCCCAGGTGCTCCCACACCTCACTCTGTCTGTCCTTCACTCTGTCCCTCCAGGGCTACTCCCCACAAGGATCCCAAAAGACAGAGCTGCTCATCAGGCTGGGTGTCTGTCACGACAGTGCCTATCCCAGGGGTAGGGATTGGTGTTGACAGCCATGGAGGCCAGGCAGGGCTAGGAAGGGGGATATAGGCATCATCAGGAAGTAGGTGGAACATGGTGACTGGAGCTACCATTTTCTGAGCTATCTTCAGAGGCCCTGGGATGACCTTCTATGTGTCAAGGGGCTCATGTGCAGATGCCTTGATGGGTGCTCACGGAGGGCAGAGACTTTTATCAGCTTCACTCACCCACCTCCAATCTCTCTGACTAATATGGTCCCTCTTCAGAAGGACCACCCCATTGTGAGCCTGGCCCTAGAGCTGGAAGAGAGAAGAAGCAAGAGCTGTTCCCTGGCAAAATAGTCTGCATTCCTTTTGAGTGAGATGGATGAGGGGCATGGGGAGATTGGAGGATGAATGACTAAATGAATAAATACACCAACCAACCAGTGGGGACCCTGCAAGAACCACTAGGGCAGCCTCCCAGGAGCTGAGGAGTCTGATTGACTCAACGCTCTGCACCTACAGTCAAGGTAAGAGCAATAATGATGATGAATTCACCACCCCTTGTCAGAGGCAGCACCATTTATAAAAGATAAAAGATGTGGGAGAGGGCAAAACAGACATGGACCCAGAAAGTGCTCTGAGATACCTTTAATTCCCCTGGTACTAAATAGACCTGGGACTACAGACTGACTGTTGCTTGCTGGAGGGAAAGGAACTTCTGCTTGAGGAACTATGGGCTCCTTCTCTGCCTATTTCTGCATGCAGGTACTGCTCAGGAGGGAGAACTGGGAAAACCATGGTCTGACATCCACAACAAAGGTGCAGTCCACCTGAAAAAAAAAGTAATTATGAGATTAGAACAGTTTAACACACGGAGAGCACTTAGCATGAAGGACTGAGTAAGAGTTCAAGGTGCATGAAAACTACAAATGACGAAAAACAGAAAGAAACAGTGGCCTAGGGTAGGATCCGAGGAGCTCAAGACTCCACCAAAATGATGGACAGGGGTTGCTGAATCTGCACATGTGGGTCAGGGGCTCCTGAGAGGGTCCTGGTGAGACCATGGCTTGCCACTCAGGGGTCCTGCCAGTACCCATGACACTGCCTGGATGCCCCCTGCCCCCATGAGTTCTGAGGGAGCCAGCAGACTGCCCAGGAGATGGTCCAACGGGACACTGAAAACTCAGTAGCAGCTGCAAACATACCCAGAGGGAAGGTTTTCCCCAAGCCTGGGGTGGAGGGAAGATTGGGACATGTCCTTGAAGCCCAGGGGATTAGAGGGGGTTGTGGGATGAC